CAGGGTGCCCAGGAGGACATCGGAAGCTCAGACCGTTGGGTTGGCTGGTTCATGAAGAAGAGGGACCGTGCCGGGGAGCGGGGGGACGCGAGCGCCTGGTGATGGGCCCTGAGGCTGGTGCGGGACACAGGGTCTGCCTGGAGCTCCAGGCAGCGGGGCCGCGGTTCGGCAGCAGGCCGTGGGCAGGGGCCACACGCGTGGCGAATCTCAGGACCTGGGAACAGGGCCCGAATGTGTGTGTGGGTGCCCCTGTCACTGGGGTGGCCAGGACACAGCCCCGCAGGCCCGGCGGCGTCAGCTGCAGATTTCTATCTACTCACCGCCACTTGGAGGCCGGCCGGCGGGGCTCGAGGGCTCGGCGGGGTTGGCTCCTGGGGAGGCTGTGGGGCTGGAACGTGCCTAGGGACGTCCCCACCCGTGTCCGCGGTTGGGTCCCTCTGTGGGAGGCTGTGTCCCAGTGTCTCCTATGAGCACAGCAGGCCGACCGCGGGGCCGTCCACCCCCATGACCCCATTTCATGCCCCCACCCCTTTAGAGACCATCTCCAAACACAGCCACGTTCTGAGGGGCTGGCGGCTGGGATCCCAGTGGGGGTGTCCCCCCGGGGTCATGGTTCATCCATAACGACAGGTGGCCCAGTGGGTCTGAGGGTGGCCAGGCCCCTCACATGATGCCGGGGAGCTGCTCCAGGGGGCTTCTTCGCTTCCCCGTCCTGGCCCCGAGCCGCAGACAGCGGTGGTGGGAACCCCAGAACCTCGGCCTTGGGATCGGTGGCAAACGCACCTGAGGAGGTGGCGTCAGAAGCGCTGAGGGCCCCGCTCCTTGGGGGGGGGGGTGCCAGCGCTGGGAGGAGGGGCCGCCTGGGTCCCCGGCGCGTCCTGCGGCCCGGGAAGGCAGGCAGGCTTCCCCACAGGGCCCAGGCCGCTGTCCCCGCAGTGGTCGGTGGCACCCGTGTTCCCGTGGGAGGCCGCGCGGCTGCTCTGTGGGCTCCTATCGGCCTCGCCCGCTGCCTGGTTTAGCGCCCCGTCCCCTTGGCCAGCGGCCCGTTCTGTGCCTCCCGGCCCTCAGGGTGGCACCGCCCTGTCCCCATGGCGAGGGGGGTGAGTGCGCGGCTCGTCCCCTGCCCCGCAGAGGGGGTCCTGGCAGCTTGTCCGGGGGCGCAGACTCAGGCGGCAGCCACCTCACCGCCGGGATCCCCACGTGCAGACGCAGGCTTCCGGGTCGCTCTGACGAAGGGGGTGAGGGGCAGGCCCAGGCCTCCTTGCTGCCTCGGTGACGGCGCCTGAGCACTGGGGCAAGGTGCCTGGTGACGGGGATGGGCTGGCGGGCCTGCCCTAGGCCCCCCGAGGGCACTCCTGGAAAGCAGTTGGCATCACCCGAGGCCCAGGCGCCAGGGCTCACCCAGGTGTCACAGAGTCAGGGTGATGGGCCGGGGGAAGGCGGCCTCGGTGTGTCAGGCACGCACGTTGGGGAGCAGCTTGACGGCAGAGGGCTGGGCTCTGGGTCCCCCACCCCGAGATTGAAGGCTCTGGGCCTCAGTTTTTTCATCTGTAACGCAGAGGTCTAGACTCCCAACAACCCGTTCTATGGGATATGACGTCACAGGCGTCAGGAAAATGCAAATGAAGATTCCCGAGTGACACCGTCATACCCGGGGTTGGACTAATGAGCTCGGACCAAGAGAGTGTCGTACAAGTGAAATCTGCGTGGGCACAGTGTAGTCACCGAGGCGAGCCCAGGCGAGCGCCCCGTTGCCACGGATTGCAATCCTGGGTCATCACCCAGAGATCCTGCATGTCGGGCAGCAGTGGGGTCGGGGTCGCAGGAGCGCCCTGAGCACAGGAGGGAGCGTCATCAAGTCTCCTGGGGGAGCAGCTGAGCTGAAAGCCCTGCATCGGGAACGCAAGCTTGGGTGTTCATGGGTGTTTCTGTTAGAGACTCTTAGGGTGGCCAGTGGAAGACTGAGCGTCACGCAAGAGGGCGCAGTAAGGGCCCACAGGGGAGGCACGGAAGACGTAAAGCTCAAGGGGGAAATAGGAGGACGCGTTTCCTGACTGGACAGACGGGCTCGGCGTTTGGAAAACAGACAGTGGCTGGCGGGTGCTGTGGCGTCAGACCCCACGGGCAGCATTTAGAAGAAGGTCTATTTAAAAAGACCTTGACAGTGTACCCCTTGCTTGTTTATATTACTTTAAAGATTTTTTTTATTTATTCATGACAGAGAGAGAGAGAGGCAGAGACACAGGCAGAGGGAGAAGCAGGCTCTACACAGAGCCTGACGTGGGACTCGATCCTGGGACCCTGGGATCACGCCCTGGGCCGAAGGCAGATGCTCAACCGCTGAGCCACCCAGGCGTCCCTCCCTTGCTGGTCTAAACTTGGATTTAAGAACGTAGAGCTGGCTTCAGCCTGTCTGGGCCCGTCGAGCCGCCTGTAAGTGCTCCTGCGGCCCGAGTCCAGCTCCCAGCCGCGCTCCTGCTGTGCCCACCGTGGCCATGGAGGGGCGGGGGGCGCGCGGGCCGAGCGCAGCGTTTGAGCGGACGGCCGGCCCTGGGTGCTCCGCGGGGTGGGCGTGTGGACCAGCCCCGCTGGCTCATGTTCCTTCGGATGGAGCCCAGCCCATGGGAGCGATGAAGCCACACGTTCTGACCCCACCCCCGGGGCGTCCGGGCCAGACGCTGACAACCCAAGCAGGTGCCCAGCAGCAGGGGAGCATGTCCTGAGATGCCAGCCGCAGGAGCACCCAGGGCCAGGCCTGCTCTCAGGACAGCGGGTGGGACCCACCGAGAGTGGCGGTGGAGGGAGGACAGGGCAGGTCGTGACCTTGAGCCATGAAGAGGGCTAGCAGCCAGGACGGAGCTCCGCGGCCAAGGCCACATCCCTCGGCTCTTGTCAAGGGCCCCACGGAGCCCCAGGGCCCGGCTGGACCCAAATGCCAGTGCTCCAGACAGGAGATGCGGTGTCGGTGGTGAGGCCGTGAGAAACGCATGCCCAGGGGTGGGTGCAGCTCCCCGGGGAATCCTGAGGATGGGCTTTCAGAGGAGAGACTCAGGTGGAGCAGGGACTGGCTACCTTGTCACCTCGGGGACTGCTGAAGTAAGGTCCCGAGCGAGAGCCTGCGCCACGCAGCCTTGGGCTCCAACACGCATGGTCACTGAGGCTGCACGCGGCTTGGTGCCACGGGCAGGTGAATGGGCGGACCGGGACGCCCGCGCCCTGGAAGGGGGCCCTGCATTGAGGCTGGACGGTGGAGCCACAAGGCAGGTCCCGCATGGTTCTGCTCATGCGAGCCTATAGGGAAGGAAGCTGGATCCACGGGGCCAGGGGTGATGGGAAGCGCCCTGACACGGCCATGGGATTGACCCCGGCCGTGGCTTTCCAGGTGCCGTCACATTGCACAGCAGTGAGTGCATCTGAGCTGTGCATGCGCTGTCCCTCGTGCCCCCACGGTGGCACCAGCAGGTCTGCGTGGCCCCTGGAGTCTGCTTTGAAGAGCATCCTGGCTGATCCGGCAACCTTCGAGCTGCCTTCTGGGGCCCCTGGGTGTTGTGGCCCGTGTGGCAGAGCCGCAGGCCTGACCCGAGGTGGTGGGGGTGCAGGTGGAGCCTGGTGTTGGGGGGCAGTGGGGCGCAGAGAGCCTGTTGTGTGTCAGGTGCCAGAGGATGGGCAGCAATGCCGGGTCTGGCCCAAGCCCTCCTTTCCAGTCTGTGTGAGGAGGAGGGGACTCGTCAGGCCCGGTCTGGCTGGTGTGTTCGAGACTCTGCTGCCTGGGAGCGTCCCTGCCCGTGGAAGGCCTGTGGGCCTGTCTCACCGCCCCCACTGGAGCCTGGTCCTGCTTCTCACGGTGGGACCCTGGCCAAGGCACCTCTCTGTGCTTCCATTTGCTCGGAGGGAAGCGTTTGCAGGGTCCCCAGGAGTGCAGTGTCTTTGCAGCCTCTGCTGGGTCTTCTATCCTTTGCATTCAGAGCATCGGTCGCAGTCACTGCGGAGTAATGAGTTAGTAACAAACCTTCCCAACACCCGGCGCTGAGAGGCAAGCGCGATCCTGCATCACCCTCGGTCTCTCGGGGTCGGTACTTGAGACACAGGGGGCTGGTGGGCCAGGTGGCTCCTGGGCTGCGGGCCTGGACAGTCAGCTTCCACCTGCAGGGCCCGCGGCTCAAGTGTCCCCCTGACACGGCAGCTGGCTCCCCCAGAGCCCACCACGCGAGGCCCGAGGGCCGAGCCAACGTGCGCTTGATGACTCAGCCTGGAAGTCACAGCGCCTGGGTGCCCGCACGGTCGTCTGGCTCCCCGGTGCCCCGAGGCGTGCTCAGCTTGTAAAGTGAAGCAGGGCCTGCCCCGGAGAGCGGGGAGCCTGTCCCAGAGCCCGCGCCGCACCCCACCCCCAAAGAGCGTGCGGGCACCTCTCCTGCCTACCAGGCCTGCAGGTGCCCGGCCTCGGGAGCCCTGAGCTTGGGTCCCGCCTTCCGGTTGGTTCTCTGCCTCCGGGGGGGGGGGGTGGGCACAAGTGCAGCCAGGAAACGTGAGCTTTGGCTTCACTGTTGAAAGTAAGGAACACGTGACAAGGGGAGAAAAACTGGTTAGGTCCCTGGGTGGCCCAACAGGGCGCGTGTGTGAGCCCAAACAAAGGCGTAGGAGGCGCAGCACCGTCTGGGAATCAAATAGTTGCGGTACCGTGGGTCTGTTTTTATAGGGATTCCATGTGCAGTTTGATGTTTTAAATGATGCTTAGAAAAGCCTAAAATAAAACCTACCTGTAATGCCTCCTCCCAGAGCTAACGACTGGTGACATTTAGGGGCATCACTTCATGTCTCCCCTCCTTTGTGCGTGAGGGCGTGTGTGTGGTGCGCACGCGTGTGTGGTGCGTAGGTGTGTGGGGTCTGGGTGTGCTGTGTGGTATGTAGGGTGTGTCTGGTGTGTGTGTGACGCATGTGCCTGCGGAGTGCGGGGCTCCCGGGCGCACCTCTGACCGCCGTCCCCGTCCCTGTCCTTCCAGGACGGCTGTTCTCAGTGAAGGGCCGTGCACACGCTCCTGAGCAGCGACCATGGGCCTGCTCGCCTACCTGAAGACCCAGTTTGTTGTGCACCTGCTCATCGGGTTCGTCTTCGTGGTCAGCGGGCTGCTCATCAACTTCGTCCAGCTATGCACGCTCGTCCTCTGGCCCATCAACAAGCAGCTGTACCGCCGCCTCAACTGCTGCCTCGCCTACTCGCTGTGGAGCCGTGAGTGCCGCCGCGCCGCGCACGCCTGGGAGGTGGGGGCCCGGGGGGGGGCAGGTGGAGGGTGGGGGGGAGCCTGGTGGCCAGTGAGGACCGGTGGGGGGCTGGGCGGCAGGTGGGGCAGGTGGGGGCAGGAGGGGTGCAGGTGGGGGGGCCAGGCAGCAGGTGGGGCAGGTGGTGCAGGTGAGGGCCAGGCAGCAGGTGGGGGTGGCCAGTGGGGGGGGCGCGAGGATGCAGGGGAGGGGGCCAGGCAGTAGATGGGGCCAGGCAGTGGTGGCGGCCAGAGGCAGGTGGAGGCTGAAGGCAGGTGAGGGCTGGAGGCAGGTGGGGGCCGGGCAGGTGCAGGCCAGGCCGTCCTCTGTGCTGGACAAACCCCGGGCAGAGCAGTGTCCACCCCCTAACAGGCAGGGCCTCGGGGGTAGGAACGCTCCCGATGACGCGACCAGAATGGGGCAGGGGTGTCCTGGCCAGCTGTCCCTGCACCGGGAACGGAGGGGTGCCCAGGAGTGCCGGGGGCTGGTTCCTGGCCACCGGATGCTCGGCCCCAGACTCCTCCCTGGGTTGAGCCGTGTGACATTCCATCGTGTGACCGTTGGGTCCCACAGAGAAGGCAGCTTTGTTTGGTTTAACACAGTATTTTGCATTTTTGAGGACGAATGTAAACCCGGTTCTCCACCGCCCAGCCTTGCCTCATGCGGGCTCGGCCCGCCAGTCGCCAGGGCAGCCCGCAGGACTGTCCGTTCTCTGGCGCATCTGTGAACATCCGTCTGTGAAAGAGAAGGACTCTCGCCCACCTTCTCATTCAGTACACGTGTGTAGCCGTGTGCGTCTGTGGCTAGTGTGCACCCGCGTGTGTGCGTGTCCGTAGAAAATCAGTATGCACCTGCCGGATGGACGGACACGCCAAAGCTTGACGGCAAAGCCCGCTGTTGACGGAGCTGAGTGCTCACACTGCAGCTTTGGGGGACCAGGCACGTCCTAGGAGGGCGACTTGGCAGGGATGTCAGCAACTCGAACAGCTATAGTTTTTTACCGTTATTCCACAAAATAAGAATGTTCCTAGAGACTTATCTGCAAAAGTACATATGTGCACAGATGCTCTCGTTTTATCCTTTTTACATTAGCACAAAACTGGCAGCAACCCAAGTGCCCGCTGGTGGAGACCAAGTACGGTGACTCCACCCGGTGGCGCCCGGCAGCCGGTACGAGCAGGGGTGGGCCTTACTGATAGAGAACCATCTTCAGAGTACATTTTTATTTATTTATTTTAAAAAAAATATTTATTTTTTTTAAATTTTTTTTTCAGAGTACATTTTTAAAAAGATTTTATTTATTTATTCATGAGAGACACACACAGAGAGAGAGAGAGAGCGAGAGAGAGAGAGACACAGGCAGAGGGAGAAGCAGGCTCCATGCAGGGAGCCCGACGTGGGACTCGATCCCGGGTCCCCAGGATCACGCCCTGGGCCGAAGGCAGGCGCTAAGCCACTGGGCCACCGGAGCTGCCCACGCTGCTGGTTATTTCAAGACAACACGTGTGTGACGTGCGCACATGCTGTCCGTGCCTAGAGGGTCGTCCAGAACCTGAGTATCCAGGGACCAGAGGAAGGAGGGACTTCTAGTTTTCACTTTTTTGTTTTACTTATTTGCTACTTACTGGGCTCTTTATTTTTTCCTTTTTTATCATTGACATTTATTTCTACGTCCAACTATGTACCGTTGAAGTGTTTTAGCACAAGCCCGTGTTTCTTTTGCACTAAGGAAGGAACAATACCTGTTTTACGTCCTGCAGGAGACGGAGCGTCTCTTCACCCTCCAGCTCGGGAGCAGAGACGGGAAGCCCCCCAAGGAGGCCCGAAGGCCCACGACCTCCTGTGGCCTCTGCGGAGACCAGCGAGCTGGCCTGTAGCATTCACTCGCCTTGCATGCATAACAGCTCTAGTTCCCAGGGTTTGGTTTCTTTTTAAATTTTTTTGAATTTTTAATTTATTTATGACAGTCACACACACACACACACACACACAGAGAGAGAGAGAGAGAGACAGAGACACAGGCAGAGGGAGAAGCAGGCACCATGCAGGGAGCCCGACGTGGGACTCGATCCAGGGTCTCCAGGATCATGCCCTGGGCCAAAGGCAGGCGCCAAACCGCTGCACCACCCAGGGAGCCCTTGGTTTCTTTTTTAGATGAAAGAGGGTGTGTGTGTGTGTGTGTGTGTGTGTGTGTGTGTGTGTGTTGGGGGGTGGAGGAGAATTAGAAATCCTGTCGTGTGAAACGTGCAGTGAGCTGCCCATGAGCACACGTGGGTGCGACGAGTGCACAGCAGAAGGGCCAATACTAGTTACTGAAGAACTAAACTGTAGACTCCACCTGCTATGGGGTCTTTGGGTCCAAACGGGTCCGACGGCTGAGCCCAGGGTGAAGCTGCCTTGCGGCTGTGTGGCTGCGTGCGCGGGGCCTAAGGGACGCTCTGGGCCCCCCCATGCCCTCAGCAGAAAGCGGGGTGCTGACGCAGAACCTTGAGCTTGCCTTCCAGGGCCCCGGGGGGAGGCAGCTGCAGGAGGCAGCTGCCCCGGGGCCATGGCTGGGCGGGGGCAGGTGAGCAGCGCCCTTGGGTCAGCCGATGGGGGAAATGCGCCCCCGCTGGGCTCCAGAGCCTCACAGAGGAAGACAAGCCCGCGGGCGCTCACGTTCGGAGGGCGACAAGCGAGCACCTGCAGTGACCGAAGGGACCAGAACGTCCATCAGTGACGCTGTGATGCTGGGGTATTGTCGAAGTGAACTCTTAGCAAACGGATGTGACATCACGTCAGAGCCAGCTCGGGGGACAGTGGGCACATGGGACGCAAGTGAGTGGCCCGACCCCGGGAGGAGAGCGACCACCGGGCTGAACAACTGATGGGGGAGAGGCCAGGCCTGCGGGCGGCAGCGGAGGATGCTCCTGGGGGCACGGAGACAGGAGCAGGGGACACAAAGCGACTCGCCCCAGGGAAGTCACAAACCACGGAGACGAGAGCAGGCGTGGAAATACCCAGAAAGGAAAGCCAGGGTGCCGGCAGGGACAGCGGAGGGACGGACGGATGGAGCGCAGCCTTGGCCCCACGGCCGTCCCAGCCCTTCAGCCGGGGGACAGGGCCTGCACCCGCACGGCGGTCTCTCCCGAGGGTGACGGGAAGAGTGCGAGGCCGGCAGAGAGTGGCGGCGCTCACGCCCCCGGGGAACGCACCCGGAATCCCCGTGGAAGAGGGATCTTTAGGAAGAACAGAGGGCGTCGTAAAGGCGGGGCCGAGGCGCGGCAGGCCGGGGGCGGCACGGCTAAGCCGTCCTGTTCTGTGAGGCTGGCACAGGCGGGGCCTGTGTGCGTGGGGAGGGCTGCAATCACGTCCTTGTTCTAACGCCCGTGCCGCTGGCCGCACTCCTGCTCTCGGCCTGGGAGGCCCGGCGCCCTCCCGGCGGCCACCCCGAGCCCGTTCCCGGCCTGACCCTCGTCCCGCCGCTGGGTCCCGCCAGCCTGACCACGGCTGGTCCTTGGTGGCCAGAGGGGAGAGAGGAGAGCCGCGCCACCCAGACTGAGTCCATGCAGACGGTTGGGGACGTGGTGCGCAGCAGGGGTGGGTGCAGCGGAGGAGCTCGCTCACCGCGCGGGGGCCAGCGTGCACCTGGAGGAGGGAGGTCGCAGCAAGATCCGCGCTGCGCCCAGGAGCCAGGAGCACAGCTCCTGGTTCGCGATGCTCCCAGCTGGGCCGGGATCGCGGACACGGACGGACGGACAGACGGACGCCGGGCCTGGCAGTCGTGCTCCATGGAGAGGCTGGCTGCCCGGCCTGGACGGAAGAAGCAGCCACAGCCTCCCCGCGGCCACCCTCCCAGGAGCCGCTCTCCGGGACCCAGGGGGACTTGCGGTGTCTGTCCATCTGTCTTCATTTCTCCTCGCTGCCCCTCCCGGCCCAGACCCCTGGTGCTCCATGAGCAAGGGAAGGTCCTGAGGACTGGCCACGGCGGGGGGGGGCGGGGGGGAAGGGGAGGGGAAGGCCGCCCGCCTGCGCACGTCCCTTGTGGAACGCCGGCTGTGTCCTCCTGCGCCAATGTGGGTCCCACCGGCCCCCCGCAGCCCCCGCCTCCTGCTCCGCTGTGCTTCCACGCGGCCGTCCGAGCACCGGGGGAGGCCGTGGGTGCTGGTGACGGTCTGGACGGCCTCGGGGTAACATGCGTGGCCCCGTGCCGTCCTGCTGTCCGCGGAGTGTGGTTGGGGCCTTGCCACTGTCTACGGCACGATTGCCACAGCTACTCAGCGTGGGCCGTGGGCCGTGGCCCCATGAGGCGAGGCGAGCCCGGGACGCCACGCTCCTGAGGCCGTGCCCTGGGGGCCCGCGGCCTGCTCTGTGGGTTCTTTCCGGGAGGCGGTCAGGGAGACGGGGGCCACGTGAATGTGGTCGTATGTGCCAGCGTGAGTGAGGTGTGCATTGTCAGACCCGAGTGAAGAAACGGTTGCAAAAAATATCTTTTTTTTTTTTAGAAAACCCAGTGTCTTGCGTTAGTCCTGGAGATGCACGCCCTCTCCCCCCGTCTGTGGTTTCTGGGCGCCCCTCGTGGGGAGCAGTTCCGTTGTGGCGGGCAGGCCCCGGAGCCCCCGCGGGGTCCCTGTCATGGGGGCCGCACGGCCGGCGAGGCTCAGGTGCGCCCTGCCCTCGGGCCCTTGGCAGTTCTGAGTCGGGGGGGGGCTGAACTGGCTCCCCTCAAAGGAGAGGTGAGAGTGGAACTTCCCCGCGTCCCCAGCAGCACCCCTCGCGGGGCCAACGGTGGGAGCCCATGTCGCCCGGAGGACGGACAGAGAGGGAGAAGGCGGGCTGCACCCGGGACGCCACTCAGCCTTTGCGCGGGACTGCACCGCGGGTGACAAGGCGACGCTCCGCAGGACGTCCGCTGAGTGAAAGGAGCCGGTCCCAGGAGGACGCGAGCTGCCCGCCTCGGCCTGCGTGAGGGCCCCGATGGCGGGGCTGCAGCGGCGCAGGGTGGCGGTGCCGGCGGGCCGGGCGGCCTGCGCAGAGGTCTGCAGGGGCGTTCTTGCCAGACAGCGGGAACCCCTCCCCGCTCCACAGCGGCCTGGGGTGACCTGGTGCCCCCCGGGCCCCGCCCAGGCCCTGCCCGGGCTTGCCGTCGACTCGCGGCCCGGTGGGGTGTCTCCCGGGGGCTCCCCGGGGGCTGCGCCGCCCGCCCCGTGGCCTCGGCTTGCCCCCCGCTTCACCAGCTTTACGAGACGGAGTCACTCGTTGCACTGTGCGGCCCGTTCAGGGCGGTGGTCCTGGTGCCTTCACCCCAAAGGAAACCTGCCCGTTAGCGGTCACCTCCATCCCCCGCAACCCGTAAGCTGCTTCTCGTCCGTGGACTTGCCCGTCGTGGACGTGGCCCACATCCGTACACGTCGGCCCCGCAAGACCCACTCGGCGAGCACGCGGTCGTCCGGGCGTGGCTGTCGCTCCGCGGGCATCTGGGTGCTCCTGCTCTGCGGCCGGGGGGCGGTGGTGCTGGGACACCCGTGCACAAGCGTTCGCGTGGACCCGCTTCCAGGGCTCCGGACAGGCCGCCGGGGTGGCATCGCCGGCCCATCCCGCAGCTCGGTGTGGACGCCGGTTACCGAGGAAGAGCCGCCCTGGGCCACGGCAGCTGCCCTGTCCTGTGTCCCCTGTGGTGCTGTGTGGGGGTGTCCAGGGACAGCCGTCCCGAGGGGTGCAAAGGGGCGTCTCCCTTGGTTTGGGTGTGCGTTCTCTAACACTGATGGTACTGAGCGTCTTCCCGTGTGCCCGTGGGCACCCACGCATGCTCTCTGGGAGCGTCCGTTCGGATGGTTTGTCTGCACCTGCGCCACTGTCCGGGCGCTTGAATGCGGATGGAAGTGGCCGGGCTGGCAGGGTCACTGGGACCGAGTGCCCCTGACGGGCGGCTTTTCCGCTCACCCTGCCCCGGGTGCCCCTGGGTGGAAGGGGCTGTGGCTGGTGAGGGTCCCGGTATCGTCTCACGGCCACACTTCCGTCAGGCTCCTGCCTGGAAGTGAAGGAGGGGGACAGACCCCAGAGGCTGCGCATTAGCCCCATATCCGGCCCCGCCTCGGCCCGGGCTGCTGGAAGGAAAGCCACCATTGCCTCCTTTCTGCAAATGGGGAAACTGAGTCCCAGGCAGTCGGGTGTGGAGCCCGCTCTCCAGGCCCTGGCCTCCGTCCTCAGGGCCCAGCCCCATCAGAAGACGGATGGGCAGGTGTCATGGTCCTGCTTCCCGGTCTGCGTGGTCACCTTTCTCGGGACGCCTGGCCGTGGTGGCCGTGCGCCAGCGGGCGGGATCAGCACAGCCACACTGGCGGCCCGGAGGTCCTGGGCTGGGGGCGCACGTGCACGCACCCCTCCTCCCGTTCTGTTGATGAAACACGACAGTCCCTCGAGTCATCGTAGTTGGACCTGACGATGCCCACCCACGATTACGGTTTTCCTCCACTTGTCCTTCCCGTTTGTCTTCATCCTGATTTTTGCTCAGAAAACATAATTATAATTTAGGAAAGTCAAACTCATGACACATGAACCGTCGGAGCTCGTTTCTAGCAGGAGGTCCCCTCCGGACAACGCTGCGTCGAGGTGCCCGGAGCGCGGGCTCGGCCTGTGTCCCCCGCCGTGGGGCCTGGACCCGAGCGCGGCCTCCTGGCCCTGCTGACTCTGCGCCCCTGTGTCCACAGAGCTGGTTATGCTTCTGGAGTGGTGGTCCGGTACCGAGTGCACCCTGTTCACCGACCAGGCCACGGTGGACCGCTTCGGCAAGGAGCACGTGGTCATCATCCTCAACCACAACTTCGAAATTGATTTCCTCTGTGGGTGGACCATGTCCGAGCGGTTTGGCATGCTGGGGGTGAGCCACGGGGGGACCCCGGGGAGGGGCTGGGGGTGAGCAGTGTGGGGACCCCGGGGAGGGGCTGGGGGTGAGCAGTGTTGGGTCCCTGGGGAGGGGCTGGGGGTGAGAGTGTGGAGACCCTGGGAAATGCTGTGGGTGAGCAGTGTGGGGACCCTGGGAGGTGCTGGGGGTGAGTCACATGGGACGTGGGTTTTTCTTCCCTCCTGGTCCCGCTCCTGGTCCCGCCCCCAGTCCCTCCTAGCCCAGAGTCTGAGGTCAGGGTGGCCCTCAGCTCCCCAGGGCGTGTCTTGCACTCCAGTTGGTTCCTCGCATTTCCTCCCATGAGCCCTACACGCCCAGAGTCCCCGCAGAGCTCCCTTGACCAGCTGAGGCAGGCCGAGCAGTGTGCTGTGCTTGGCGGCCCAGGTGGGCCCCGGGCAGCCCCGGAGTGCGCACCCCTCCCTCCGCCAGGCCTGTGCCTCAGTTTCGTTGTCTGTAGCACAGCTTGCCTGCACCCTTGGGGCCTGCTGAAGGCAGCAGCTGTGCTCAGAGCAGGGCCTCCTCGCTGGCCGCCAGGCTGGTCCCGGGGTGCCTGTGGGGGTCTGGACCCTCACTGACCCCCCCCTCCCACCCAGAGTTCCAAAGTCCTCGCAAAGAGGGAGCTGCTGTACGTGCCCCTCATCGGCTGGACGTGGTACTTCCTGGAGATTGTGTTCTGCAAGCGGAAATGGGAGGAGGACCGGGACACCGTCATCCAGGGGCTGAAGCGCCTGTCCGACTACCCCGAGTACATGTGGGTGAGTGCCCCCCCGCGTGAGGGATGCCGCACGCTGTCGTCTGTCCACGCTCTGTGAGGGGGAGCCGCCCCTCTCCGTGGAGCCGCCCGCCCGCGGCCTGGGCTGACCTGTGTCCCCGTCTGTCCCAGTTCCTCCTGTACTGTGAGGGCACGCGCTTCACGGAGAAGAAACACCGCGTCAGCATGGAGGTGGCCGTCTCCAAGGGGCTGCCCGTCCTCAAGTACCACCTGCTGCCTCGTACCAAGGGCTTCACCACGGCGGTCCAGTGCCTCCGAGGGACAGGTAGGGGGCCGCCGAGCTTTCCCTGGGCTCCGCGCTCAGACGCGCCAGACGCGCCACCGACGGGACCCAGAGGGTGGGAGTGAATGACAGACGGGCCGGTAGGCGGAGTTGGCACAGCGACGGTCCTGGTGCTCCTGAGGTGACGAAATGCTGGTCAGTGCAACACGTGATGAATAAGTAAATAAGGAAAAAGTCTGTGACCGAAAGCCCGAAAGGAAAAGACACGTGTTCTGAGGACTCCCAGAGGGGGCGAGATCAAAGGAAGGGACGAGGACAGGGCGTGGAGGAGAGGCAGCCAGACAGTAAACCTGAGCACAAGTGGTCAGTAAAGGTGGTGACCTGTGTCCCCCCAACCCCGTGGGTGGATGAGCCCAAGGGACTGGGCGGGCTGAGCGCGGTGTGGGCTGAGCGCGGTGTGAGAGCAGGGCCAGGGTGAGCGGGGTGCAGGGTGAGCAGGGTCGGGTGAGCGGGGTGCAGGGTGAGCGTGGTCTGGGTGGGTGGGGTGCAGGGTGAGCGGGGTTGGGGTGGGTGGGGTGCAGGGTGAGCGGGGTGTGAGAGCAGGGCCAGGGTGAGCAGGGTCGGGGTGAGTGGGGTATGGGCTGAGTGGGGTGTGAGATCGGGGTGCATGACCTGGTGGGTTTTGGGGCTGAGTGGGGTGTGACAGTGGGGTCTGAGGTAGAGCAGGGTGCTGGCGTGGGCCTGGGGCTGAGCAGGTGCAGGTGCGGGTGCAGGCACGGGTGCAGGTGCAGGTGTGAGTGCCCACGCCCACCTGGGCTCCCCCACCCCAACAGTTGCAGCCGTCTACGATGTCACACTGAATTTCCGTGGAAACAAGAACCCATCTTTGCTGGGAATCCTCTATGGGAAGAAGTATGAGGCGGACATGTGTGTGAGGTGAGCTGCCCTGCCCACCCCCCCAACCCCCCGGGCCCTCCCGGTGCCCGTGGAGGCAGCCAGCTCCCCAGGACTGCAGAGGTGGGGTGCGGGAGTGGGTGCGGGGTGAAGACAGAGTGTTCTGGGTGCTCTGAGGGAGGAGCAGCCTCTCCTGCCCCGGGGGGGTGGGGAGGCAGGGGGGGTGGAGGGGCAGGAGGGCACGTAGAAGTGTTTTAAGAGGTGTGGAGCTTCAGCTTGGCCATGACCAGGCTTCCAGGCAGAAGGGTGACTGCTCCAGCCCCAGGGTGTGGGGTCCTTAAGTAAAGGGGCCTAGGACCTTGGTCCCCCTCAACACATCTAGTTGGGGCCTCCCGGGCCTCCCCTCGTCTGGCTCACCCCACTGGAACTTCCCGGTCACTGGTTCCGTCAGTTGTGTCCAGGAAGGCCGAACCCTCCCTGGGGCGTAGCTGTCTGTTAGGTCCCGGGACTGTCACCTGGCAGCACTGACTGGGTGACCCCCGAGTCAGACCGGCCCTCAGGGCTCCCAGAGACCCTCCTCATGTGAATCTCGAGAACACGAGCTGGTGCACCCCGCCCCCCCGAATCATCTCGGGAATGTGAAGAGTGAGCCAGGGGCTTGCTTCCCCCGCAGTGTGCAGCGCCCCGGCTGGGAGCAGGTGTAGGTTCTCCCGCCCACCCAGGACGTGGCCAGAGCCCCAGATCCCTGCCCTCAGGTCCCTAGAGCCAGCAGCGTCCCGGTGGCCTCCAGCCCTGGCGTGGCTCTGACCAGAGCAGGTCAGCCGTTGTCACCCCAGCCAGTCCGGGGGAGTGAGGGGTGGGCGGAGCTGGGGGGACGCCCTGATCCAGCTCCGGGTGGGTGCTCCGGCCACCCCGCCAGGTTACCCTGCCCCTCCGAGTGGACGGTCCCCTCCAGGAGAAGCCCCGTGCCTTACTCTGAGCATTCCCCCTTTGTTGCAGAACTACGCTGTGCCTCATCTTATTTTAACAGATACGTGCTCCGAACTTCTAAAAGCTTCGGTTTACTATTTTGTGATACTTACCATTCAGGTATTTTGAAGGAAAGCAATATCCCAGTGAGTCCAGCACATGCTTATAATCAAACAAGCCAAAGCTCTCACAGCCAGATGGAGCGTCGTGAGGCTCCCCATGCTCGTTCCGGCACCGGGCGCCCGCATCCCTGAGGTGGCTGGAGTCCACTCCGGGACACAGATGCTCACCTTTTTATTTATTTTTTTATCATCATTTGAAATTCTTATTTTATACGTTTCATACTGCGTGTAACAGCCATTTAACACTAGGACCTGGGGGTGGTTATCTCCTACAGGATACAGATCCAAAACCAGGGGAGGATAGGCAAGTGGGCGAGAGGCCTGTAGGCAGCCATCCCTCCGTGGGCAAGCCCCTTCTGACCTTTGTCTCCTTACCCGTGGCGCCCCGGCTCCCAAGGTCTTTCGGGGTCCACAGAGTTAAAGCGTCTTTGTTCACGAGGGGGTGCACGTCTCCTTCACTGCCTGGGAGCGTGCAGCAGAGCTTCCCTGAGACTGCGTGACGTGCGGCACCAGCATCGCTGCCACGTCTGGCGGCGTGTGTCCCTTCTCACTGTAACTATGAAGATCGACAGGTGTGACCCATATAAAGCCAGGTTCTCCATTTTTAGAGGCAGAGGGGTTAGGATCCCTTCCAACGTGGAGATTTTGCGGGGCTCCTCATGCTGCGGCCCACGGTGGGGGGGGGCAGCCAGGCGGGAAGACTACCGTGATGGTCATTGCACATGCGTGTCCCCGGTGGCCCTTGCTGGCGGGCTGGGTGCTGCGGCTGCGGGGGGCGGCCCTTCTGGCCCTGTTGGTCTCCCCAGGAAGACGCGGGCGCTCCTGGGCTGGCGGCCCCCTGGGGACTGGGGTCATGCGTGAGTTAGCATCCTCACTAAACCCAGCTGTTTGTGAGTCGAGATCATTAAGTCCTGAATCTCTATTGCTTTCCCCATTTGGAGCAAGTAGATTTCATTTGTGAAATATGTAATCTCTGCCCAGTGGAAGACCCTCTCGGTTTTGATTATTTCCAAACAACGAACCATTAAGAAAGAACAGAACTCCTGCCGAGGCTAACAAATGCTCACCCTTCGCAGTGGAAACGGGGGCACGATCTGCTCTGTGAAACTGCTCGTGAGCACTGCCTGTGAAATGCGTCGGCTGTGCCCTGGAGAGGGACAGCCCCTCCCCCCCCGCTTGCCCTCCGTGGCCCTCATAGTCCCGCGGGGCGTAGGGAGTACAGCACTGTGTCCGGGTGAAGGCCTTTGACGTGCGTGTGGCTTTAGAACCCAAGTGAGTCCCATGAGCAGAGAAAGTGGGGCCGGCGAGTCACCCTGCCGTGCAGTAATTTTTTTTCTCCGTTTCTGTTGATGCCATCCAATGGGTAAGCCACTTTGCTTCAATCTTCTTAACAAAACAGGAGATTTCCTCTGGAAGAGATCCCACTGGATGAAAAGGAAGCGGCTCAGTGGCTTCATAAACTGTACCAGGAGAAGGTAAGGGTGCGCGGTTTTCCTTTTCCCCGGGGGGTCTCGTGAAGACGTTTCAGAGGGGGAGCTCTGGGGCAGGCGGGGGCTCAAGGGCTGCTGGAGACAGGAGGACTATGCGCTTATCAAACACGCTCTACCTTCTTTCCAGTTTCTTCCATTTTTCTTAACTTGTGAGAAATCAACACAGTAGAGAAAATATAAAGGACAGTGTTCATACAGCCGTGGCTGATAGCATGTTATCACATTTGTTTTGCTATTTCATGCAAAAGAGCTAATAGAGCTACAGCCTACACGTATCGTGGGTGTGAGCTATACATAGGCGACGTGAAGAGATCCTCATGTCAGCCACACCGGTCCCCGCACCGTGTCCCCCCAGCACACCCTCCCCTGAAACGTAGCACCAGCACAAACATACAGGATGAGACGTCTTCATCTTCAGCATTGTGGGAGCCTTAGAGAATGAGAGGATCCTTTCCACGTATGACAAATATCTTTTTAAAGGCCCTGGTGATTTTTTAAGAAAAAATAACGGAAATCTCTAAGGGTCAAGAAGAAGATGGAGCTGCAAATCAGATGGTGAGCCTGTGAACCAGGAGTGGCATGCTCCACCAGTGGCATTTGCAGGTCCCCATAACCTGGACTCTTGAGTTTTAATGCCTACCCAGAAACAGGAGATAAGGGTTTGACCTCATTCTAGGCAGGAATGCTCAGAGTTTTTCCCTTGCATGGTGGACAGAAAGAAACTTGCCTGCTGGCACAGGGAAATGGCTTTGCGCCTCACCCTTCTCCTCTTGGTCTCAACAAGGTCCCCCTGATAACTCATAGTCACAGGTTGGCCCTCAAAGGGTTTGGGGTTTGAGTTTGTACTAGCTGCATAGTTTAAGGAGAGCAAAGCGAAAATACCAGCACAAGGAGAAGTTCTAGGCAAATGACTCCAGAGTCCCCGGGAGAGAAACAGTCCTCTAAACCTCAGCTGCTCGAGATTTCCACAGCAACTCTGCTGGCGATGAGCATGTCAGCAGACACGTGCACAGGGTGCGCAGACACAGAAGAGATAGACTCTCCAGAGACGGTCGCCAAGGGAATTATCAAACCAACCCGAACATCAGTATTCTCGAAGTGATGGGCCCAAAGGAGTAACGGAAAACAAAAGAGCAACGCCTACAGGAAGTCAGGTTTGAGAAAAACCAAGTAGAGTGTACAGGCAGGAGAAATGTGGTGGTTGACAGGAAGGTCTTAATCGATTAAATAGCAGATTTGATACGGCTGAAGAGAGAGTCAGTAAACTGGAAGATTGAGAAGAAATTACTCAAGATGTAGCGCAGAGGAAAGGAGAACATAGAAGGAAGTTGAGAAGACACGGACGATGGACCGAGAGGCCCCGGAGGTAACTCCTGGCAGGTCCAGAGGGAGGCAGGAGTGGTGAAGAGCAGGTGGCAGAGACAATGACCACACAGCTTCTGGAAGTCATCAGGTTCAAGAAACACAGTCTGGAAGAGGGTAAATAAAAAGATATCCACCCCTACTTACCAATGAGATTGCAGAACACCGAAGGCAACGAGGCGATCTTAGAATAACTGCAGAGTAGAGACATACTCCCCGCCAGGGAATGGCTGTGAAGTTGATGTTAGACACCTATCAGGGCCCCTTCTAAATGTCCTACGTACATTTTATTTTCTTAATCATCACACACGCTGCCATCCACACACATAACACATGAAACACACGTTAGAAAGAGAGTCAGCCCGGGGAGAACAGAACAAAGAAAATAATGAAAATAGCATAAATCATTTTAATGGAAAGCAAAGCTACCAAAGAGTGAATCAACTGTACTAAACACTTTTCCTTTAAAAATACTAATAAAATAGAAAGCCGTGGTCAGGACTGACTGGTGAGAAGAATGGCAGCGTCAATAGGAACGAAAAGGTAAGCCCACCAAAGAGCAGGGGGAAGCAGTATGAGAGTAGTACCGCTCACTTCATGCTCACACACCCAAAAACTTAGATAAAATGTATGATTTCCAAGAGTAACTCTGCAGAAGAAAAATAAAGCCTCCGTGAAGAGGAAATGCAGCGTATGCGTCCACGTAGATAGAACGGGGTGGGGGGTAGGTGTTGAACACACTAGATCACAAAGGAGAGCCCATCGCGGAGTCCAGGGCATCGTCTGAGAGTTTGAAACTTACAAGAAACAGTGTTGTTCAACGGAGGATGAGACCTAACCTAACCGTGCGTTATTAGGAAGTGGGACACTGTGTGTGTCTTCGTGTGCTGCGCTTCCGTCAAAATGAACAAACCATGTGTCAGCAACATAACCAGATTGTGGGGACATAATGTGCAAACCAAGATGGCCTCAGTGTGCGTGTCGTACGTATGATGCTCCGTGAGGAAGGGGGCACGGTGTGCAGGCAGCACGTGCACTGTGTTCACACACATGTGCCTGCCGAGTGCATGTGCGAACAGGGGCCGGGGCAAGGAGGGGAAGAGTGGCCCAGCCGGGAGCACGGCAGCCCCAGGAGGTGATGGAGCAGGGGCCTCATCTCATCTCAAAGGTTCACTTTCCAAAATCATCTGACGCAGACACACCAGTGACACACAGTGACATATATGACTTCTCAGGGTATTTTTATGTTATTTGCCATCTTTTCCCATAGTACTGAGACATAGGATAGTATTTTCAGTTGTCTTTTGCGTCACTTAGAATGTAATTCACATTAAGGACGCCACACTATGTGTGATGTCATTTCTTCAGACCCCGTTGAGTTTGTATCTGTCAACATTGACATAAACATATTTAATTCACTCCTTTTATTTTTTTAAGAAGGTCTTTTAAATTTTATTTATTTATTTATTTATTTATTTATTTATTTATTTATTTATTAAATAGAGAGGGAAGGGTTGGGGGAAGAGAGAGAGAGAGTCCTAAGCAGACTCCACACCCAGTGCAGGGCCCGACCTGGGGCTCGATCCCATGACCCCGAGATCACGACCTGAGCCGAAACCAAGAGTCAGACCCTTAACCAGCGGAGCCACCCAGGCACCCATTGGTAATTGAAGTAAACTCTACCCCCAACACGGGGACCCACTGCACGCTCCACTGGCTGAGCCAGCGGGTGCCCCGACTCATTCCTCTTAAGTGCACTATTCCAGGACTCACCACGGGGTGACCACCGCTTAGGCCCCTCATCTTCCTGTCTGTGAACAGTTAGCTTGTGTTCCACTCTGTGCCAAGCGTCTCTCCAAGACACTAACGCTGTAACCTGCAGAAGTCGCCTATCGGCACTTGGCGAAATGTCTCCGAGTCGTGCCTCAGAGAGACTGCACAGGTTGCGTCCTGTAGGTGAGCACGAGGTGCCCCTCGGGTGCCCGTCTTGTGAGCAGAGGGTCCGAATGGCCCCCTGCCAGGCCAGACACAGACCCCGCGGGGACCGGACTCGGCACTTGGACCCTCATGCGACATCGGCCTCCCAGAGGCGTTGACAGCTTGCGCCGTCGGTTATTTACCAGTTAGCTCCACATAACCTCTTGATGTGGCGTCATCAATGGGCCACAGAGGTCGAGCCGTGTGGTCTCCCCAATCCGCAGATGTGGAAGCTGACCTGGGGGTGCTGGGGGTTGCAGGCCTGTTGGCCCCACCCCTGCTGTGTGCGTGCCCCGCGGTCAGGGAAGGCGGTGGTGAGGGAACTGGGACGGAGTCCTGAGTCCCGGGCTCCCACCTCCTGGGCACTCGAGTGGGGGCCACGGTGGCCGAGTGCCAGCCAGGCCTTGGAGGGGACACGGAGTGGGCGTGGCTAGGGGGCCTGGGGCCGTCCTGGCAGAGGCTTGCCAGGGGAAGGAGCAGAGGACGCGAGCTGTGCGAGCAACCCCGAGAGAGCCCCTCGGCAGCCGGCCCAGCGTTTCCTGTCCCGGAGCCAGTGTGAACGAGTCTCACTTCCCCGTGTGCTGTGGGCAGGTGCTGCTCCCGGACACGCTTGGCAGACGCGGCACATGTGTGTGCACAGCAGATATGCCTCCCCACCCGGGTCCCACCTGGAGGAAGCCACGGCACAGCACCCGCTCACGCTGTGGCGTCCCAGGCGCCGGGGCTTTGCGGCAGGTCTGTCCTCCCCCACCCTCCCCAACGCCGCAGGCAGGACCCCGCCGCCTCGGCCGGCCGTGGGTGAGGGACTGAGCCACCCGCACGTCAGGGCAGGCGGGGGCAGGGGGCTCCAGAGGCCCCTGGAATGTGGGGGTGCCCGCAGGATGGGGTGACGGGAGCAGGCCCAGCCCCAGGCACAGTTGTCGGGCTGCAGAGCAGTGCGCCGAGGCGAGGAGTGCGGCCCTTCCACCAGAGGGTGCTGGGGCTACTGGGCCCCCAGCCCCCCACCCCGTCAGGAGGTAACAGGAGCCAACGAGGGGCCCCCCCAACATGCCATCATGGGGGCCGGAGGTACCTATGTGCCCCCAGCTTTCCTCGAGCTTCCGTGCGAGCAGCCTCGGGTCCCGCAAGGGTCCTGCCCTCCTCCACCTGTTGCACACGCCGTCGTTGTCGCCTCATCTACGTGGAGCTTTGACGGGTGGCGTCATTCTCATCGTCAGCACCCCCCTTCTGTGTTAGAGCATTCGGGGCACCTGGGGGGCTCTGTCGGTGGAGCGTCTGCCTTCGGCTCAGGTCGTGATCCCGGGTCCTGGGATCGAGTCCCACATGGGGCTCTCTGCTCAGCGGGGCGTCTGCTTCTCTCTCTGCTGTTCCCCCTGCTTGTTCTCTCTCTCTCTCTCTCTGTCTGTCTCTTTCTCTGTCAAATAAATAAATAAAATCTCTAAAAAAAGAAGAAGAACATTTAAAGCAGCCTTGTTCTCGACTCTTCCAGGACGCCCTACAGGAGATGTACAACCAGAAGGGCGTGTTCCCGGGGGAGCAGTTCAAACCCCCCAGGAGGCCGTGGACGCTCCTGAACTTCCTGTCCTGGGCCACGGTCCTCCTGTCTCCTCTCTTCAGTTGTGTCTTGGGCGTCTTTGCAAGTGGCTCTCCCCTTCTGATCCTGACGTTCCTGGGGTTTGTCGGGGCAGGTAACGAACGTGAATAACGCGGCTCGGGGTAGGGGCGGGGGGGGTCTTCTGAGCACCTGCCACCGTGCCGGAGCCTGGGAGCCGTCGAGGCGACCGGCCCATAGGGAGCGGGTCCACCGGGAGTCCTGGCCTCGGAGAGCGGCCTCTGCCCTCTAGGCCGCGGGGTCACGCAGACCACAGCCCAGTCCCCGGGCTCCCTGCAAGCTGACCGGCCACCTGCTCTGGCGAAGCTGTGCCGAAGCTGGGTGGGCGCCCCTGGGAGGGGCCCTGGGCTGCTGAGTCTGCACGGTGGCCTGAGGGTCTCTGCGCACGTGGTCATTACAGCCCAGCACCCGACCTGGGCGCCCAGGGTCCCTCACGGAACCTTATCAGATGGACACCCCGTGTGTCCCTGGCACCTGGCAGGGCACTGCAGCCCCAGGCCCACGCCTACCTCGCCCCTGCGGTGGGAGTGGGGGGGTGGGCTGGCCTGCCATCCCCCCGGGAGCTCTGAGGCAAAAGGTCCAGGACCCCCCATGTTGGTTTTTCCAGTTGGACGGCCAAGCGATCGGTCTAACCTCCTTTTTCCTGTTTTAAAGCTTCCTTTGGAGTCCGCCGGCTAATAGGAGTAACTGAGATAGAAAAAGGCTCTAGCTACGGAAACCAAGAATTTAAGAAAAAGGAATAATTACTGGCTGTGATTGCACATACAGAACCTGACGGTGGTATCCAATTAACTCAATTAAAAGCAGAACAACACACACAGATCAAAAAAAAAAAAAAGACCCTTAGAAACTATTTTTCTTATTAACTGGTGACTAATACTGACCAGTAAACCTTGAGCCAAGAGTGAAGCTGGCGGAGGCCCGCGGAGGAGGAGTCCAGCCGCACCCCTGCGCGGGGGGCGAGAGCCAGCTGCGGGGCCGGGCACTGGGGCGGCGACAGTGCGGGGTGGGGGGGCCACTCCTGAGCCACGGGTCCCACCCCAATGTCATCTCCAGAGAATTCTGGCTGCCAGAGGGAGCCTTCGGATGCTTTCTCTTCTTAAACTTAGATCCCAGTTTTGGTTTTTATCGGTTATTTCGGGACCTCATCCTGGCCCTTCGCCTCCTCCTGCCCTCGCCCCTGCCCTCCCGGCAATGGGGACACGTGCGTCCCAGGCCCCCAAGCGCTCGCCTGTCCCGCCCAGCCCGGCACCGGCCCTTCACTTCCAGCGGTGGGGTGGGTGCGCAGAGCGTCCCTGGGGTGAGGAGCCCTCGCCGAGAGTCCGATGTGCGGGGAGCCGCAGCGCAGCCAGGCGCACCCGTCGCACGTTCCGACCACCTGGCCCCGTGTGTCAGTACCTCGCATCTGTTTCTGTAGTGGAGGCGCCCCCCCAGCCCCCCGAAGCCTTCTGTCCCCGTCTCCTCCTGGCCACCAGGGGGCCGCCCTCCACGGGGCCGCACCCCTGCACCCGGTGCCAGGGGAGGGCTGCCCTGCAGCCCACGGGGCTCTTGGATGCTCCTTAAAGGATCGCCGCCGTCAGGCCTCCCTCCTGGAGGTGCTTGCAGACCGTCCGCTCGGAGCTCGTTGGCGTCTAGAGGTTTTGCTTCTGCAGTTGGTCCGTGGAGGGCTCTCAGCTCCCCGGTGGGCAGGAGAGGTGGTGAGCCTCTCGGGTTGTGCCGCCCTCTTTCCCAAGTGGGTGCCAGGGCCCGGGGTGGGGGGCAGGCGGGCGTCCCCCCGGGTGCCCTGGGGCACTGCTCCCCGCAGCTCCCCCCACCAGGGGGTGTCTCTCCGCATCCTGACTTGGACCACAGCCCCCGGGGGAGCTGCATGTTCTGCGGATGGAGGCGTGGGGCTGGGGCCACCCGGCAGGTGGCAGGAGGGCCCTGGGGGCCTGGGGCGCAGCTTGCCCGCCTGCGCTGGACTTCCTCCTAAGACTGCCCGTGTGCTGTTTGCCCGTCACACTCCGCGCGGCCTGCTCAGCGAGGGGGGAAACGCGGGTGTTGGGGTGTCAGCTCTGGTGCCCGGGGCCCACATTCCAGAGAGAGGCAGCTTGAATTTTCCAGGAAAAGAAATGGAGGGAAGAGGCATGGGAAGAAGATAAGCTAAATTAGACAAATAACTATGCATCAGCCCTAAGTCTGTATTTTGGGAGAATTTCTTGAGAGAGCACCCACTCTTTAGAAGGGGGACCCTGCGGGATTCCGGTGGTTGCCGTGGGGAAGGGCGCGGGCACGGCGAAGGGTGAAGGTGACGGTCCCTGTGAGACTCGGGGCTGAGGCAGCCCCCCAGCTCAGAGCCTGCAGGCAGGGAATCACTGCCTGGGGCTCCCCGCCCCCCCCGGCCACTGGGCTCTGCCCCCCGTGTGCGTGTCACTCACTAACTTCTGGGACATCCCGTGGCCGCCACAGGGCACAGCCGTGCACCTGCATTCCCTACCAGCCGTAGACGTAGGTCCCACCGGTAGCGCCCAGCTCTCATTGCCGGGATCCGTGCTGTCCCCCCCAAAGCCAGTGTGCCGGGGAGCCCAGCCGGAGCCGCCCAGCGAACCGCGGACGCCCGGGCCAGCGCAGGTCTCAGTCTCAGTGATCCCCTTCTGATCTAACAGATGAGCTTGTGCACTTGATGCCAAGACTTTGAGAGCAATAAAAACTACACCATGAATGTTTGGGGTTTTTTTTTTTTTTGTTTTTTGTGTTTTGTTTTTTTTTTTTTTTTTTTTTGGTTTATGGAGGGGGTGGAGTTGCTTTTCATCCACTTCAGGAGGAAAAGGGAGAGGGAATTCCTTTAACTTTTAAAATGAATAAATCAGGATAGTGGTTTTCTTTTCTCTTTACACCCCACAACTGAGCTTCATGTGTTGCTGATGTCAGTCACGTCCAAACAAAGGCCAGACACTTGGACCGTCGGGTGGTTGGGGTGCACTTGGGCCCCGCGCCCTGGGCACCCCCCGTGGGTACCCCACGGGCTGAGCTCTGAGCTTGCGGTCAGCACAGGCCCGTGCACGGCGAGTGGAGCTGGGGTGGCGGTCACCGCCGCTGCGTCCAGCCAAGGAGAGGACTGACTGACTCCCCGGTGAGGCTGGGGGGTTCCAGGGCCTTCTCAGGCGCCTGTGGCTTCACCACGGCTTTGTGGCAGCTGCGTGACCCGGGGACTCTGCGGTATAGTGTGGGCGACCGTCCCCACTGCGAGCAGCTGAGGCGGCGTTGGGGGAGGGCCGAGCAGGTGGGAAGGGAAGCATGTCCCCGTTGGCCATAGTCCAGAGCAGGAAGGGAGCCTGGCCATGCTGCGCTTGGTGGCGGCACGCCCGGTGCGTGGTCCTCCAGAAGGCGAGTCTAGTTGAAGAGATGACTTCAACATCCAGCCCCCTGAGCAGCAGCATGAAGCAGTGTCCACAGCACCGTGTCCTACACGAGGCCGCAGCGGTGCCCGATGGATCTGGAATTTCCGCGTGCCCGTCCCTCCTGCCCCCCCGACCCCAGGGCACGCGGAGCTCCCCTCCCCCTCGTTTGCTTACTGAGCATTGAAGTCCATCAGCTCGGGAGGCGTCTGCAGTCCGGCCGCGCCCACGTGGCTGCCGCTGGGGGTCAGATCCGGGGTGAGGAAGTCGCGCTCTGCATGTCGCCTTGTCTCTGCTGAGACCCTGCTAGGACAAGCCCAGGAGAACCTTTCCAGCCCGCTGATTTTTCAGCTGAACTGTTCAACCTTGTGCGTCAACTCATGCCTCTGGTTCCTCGCCGGTACCTGCATGCTTTCCGCAGCGCGCCGTGCTCGGTGTTCAGCGGGGTGACGCGGCCTCGGACCCTCCGCAGTGTGACCGGGCCTGGGGCCGTGGCGGCGGGCCTCCCGTCTGGACGCAGCCCGTCCCCGGGCCGTCACCTGCCCCTTCCTGTAGCGAGCGAGCCCCTGCAGAAAAGCAAGCCTCTGCCAGCGCCCGGGCCCTGGGACCACTGGGGTCATGCAGACACTCAGGCCCCATGTTCTCGCCCATCAGGGTCAGGGCACAAAGCCGCAGGGATGGGTTCGGGGTAGAAGATGTCACAGTGCGTTCTGCTCCACCGAGGGGTGGCCACACATCCCGAGCATCTGCCGCTGCCCGATTCCGTGCTGTCACCGGAAAGGACCAGAGCATTTTTAGGGCCCCTAGGACGTGGCCAGAGAAGCTGACCCGCATAGTCTTTTCAAAGACCACTAAATTGCTTAAAATTTTTAAGCTCTGTAATGACAAGCCCACCTGGAGCTTTCTTTCCTCATAGACTTCTCAATTTCTTAACTTTCTGTTGCAAAAGCCAAGGGACAAAGTGGAGCTGTGAACAAGACACTGAGATGCACTGAGCCGTGTTACATTAAACCAGTTACTGGATGCAACGCAGAAAGGCATCCGATCCGCTTGTATTTATTGTCTCAGACCCGTAAGACTCGTACGTTGTGACAATCAAATGTGACTTGCCCAAACGCCGGGAAATCCCACTGGCTTCTTAATCGTAAAGACCGTCCGCAAGTACTGCAGCCGTAAACGGGCGTCTCTGTCCTTGGAGAACCACGCGGACCCCTGACACGACCCGTGTGACGGCCGCTGGGGTTCTTTTTCTATTACGGATGCTCTGTCCTACCTGACCGTTGGCCAGTTTCAAAGAGTGATGAATTACATACAGGGTGCAAATGTATTATACGGATGTTTCCTTTTATACACTTAATTTTTACAAATTTTGCTACTCACGAGCTTTATGTAGTTGAGAATAGCAGTATTTTTGGCCTATGGGAGCCTGTGGGGGTGGGTGGGGATGGGTGGGGATGGGCGAGCCACCTTAGGTTTTAAATGCCTGTGTCCCAGACATGCGGCCGTATTTGCCGTGCTCTGTGGACATCGCTTTGTACGTGGGCGTGCGTGAACTTCCTCAGCAGGGGCACACTCCAGGTCAGATGCTGCAGGCACTGTGTGTGTTTATTAACATTGCTGCTGCCGTAGAGAAGGAGAAAATGTCCTCAGCATGAACGAGAGCCACCGTGTCCTCCTTCTGTCCCCTGGTGTCCAGCGTGCTCAGGTGCTCCCCGGGGGAGCAGGGGACCCCAGGCCGCCCACCCGCACGGACCACCCCGGGGTGACCGCTCTCTGGGAGGCTGTCCTGCTGGTTGCACTTTTCAGGCTTCTCCATTTCACGTAAGATGCTTTTGGAAGGGGAAATCGGGACGGACGGTGACCACCTGGCAAGGGCAAAGGACAAGATCAGCTGGTGCACAAAGTGCTAAGTGACCCTCTGCCTGCAGATGGGTCTTAAAAGCCATCAAGAACAAAAAGGTTTTCCAAAGTAGGCATGTATATATCAGAAATTATTTTTTTGTAACAACAAATTCATTCTGTGGAGAAAAAATCAAGGACCACTTTTTCTTCTTTATAAAGAAAAGAACTCTTGTTAGAACCAAGAGCTATTCCAGGCTCTCATTTGTCTGTCTTGTGAAAATAAATCGAGCTGAAAGAATTGTGGTGTCACCTGTGCTGGAGGAACAGCCCCTGGTGATGTGCTTTTCTGCTCTGCTCTGGTGTGGCCGCGGCGCTGGGGACACTCCGCTCAGGCCGCCTGAGACCAGGCTCGATGGGCTCTCCCGAAAGTCCCACGTCTAGGCTAATTTTTTAAAATATTAGTCCTCGGAGGGGGGCCTGGGTGGCTCGTTGGTTAAGCATATGACTCTTGATTTTGGCTCAGGTTGTGGTCTCAGGGTCAGGGGATCGAGCCCCAGGTCAGGCTCCATGCTCAGCAGGGAGTCTGCTGGAGGGTTCTGTCTCCCTCACCCTCTGCCTCTCCCCCCTCATGCACTAAAATAAATGATTTCTAAAAAAATTAAAATATTAGTCCTTAGAGTACACAAATGAGCCAGCACAGGCACGCATGCACCCGCACACACAGCCGTGCACCTGCACCTACACACACACTCGTGCACATGCACATATCCGTGCACTTGCATACCCACACACCTGTACACCTGCAAACACGTGTGCACCTGCTCACCCACACACAAATCCGTGAACCTGCACACACACACGTGCATCTGCACTCACACACCCATGCACCTGCACTCATACATACACCCATGCACTTGCACACACACGTGCACCTGCACACACCTGTGCACCTACACATGCATGTGCACCTGCACAGACACCCGTGTACCTGCACTCATACACCCATGCGCCTGCACACACACACACACGCCGTCCATCTGCACACTCACAGCCGTGCACCACACACACATACCCGTGCACCTGCCTTCACACGGCCGTGCACCTGCACCCACACACACACATGCAGGATCTGGGGCGAGAGGATGCTATGTTCCCAGGAGACGGAACCGAAGGGCCCCGTACCACTTGCTGTCCTGGAATGGCAGGGCTGGACCAGACCCTTATCCCCCATGCACGCAGCACTGCTTTGCTTGTGTGCTGTGTCCCGTTTGAACATGACTACCCACTGGTGAAGATGAACAGTGTGGAAGGGACCCTCAGGCTCCCCACCTGGAGGCTCACGGACACCCGGGATACCCGGGAGGTGGGCCATGCTTTATCATGAGCCCCTGCTCTGCTGGCCACGCTCCACCTCTGGCTCTGCTGGGGAGACTCAGTATTGGGCATCAGCCCCTGGCCACCTGATGTAATGAGAAGAGCATGTGTGTGTGCACGCGCAGCCATACACACCAGCATGCTCACACGCACACCAGTGCACATGAGTGTGTAAGTGTGCACACATACCAGTACATGTAGGTGCACATGCATGTGTGTGCCCATATAAACACGTAGATGCCTGTGTCAGCATACGCACATGAGTGTGCACACACATATGTACACACACATACACACCCCAAACAGAGGAAAGCTTGGGGTGCTCCTACAAGAACAATCCCATTAAGTGGCACCTGGGTGGCTCAGCAGGTGAACGTCTGCCTTCAGCTCTGGGCGTGACCCCAGGGTCCTGGGATCGAGTCCCGCATCGGGCTCCCCACAGGGAGCCTGCCTCCCCCCTGCCTGTGTCTCTGCCTCCCTCTGTCTGTCTCATGAATAATAAATAAAATCTTGAAAAAAAGAACAATCTCATTAAGAAATGATACGAAATCACAAATTTACGCCTTTGAAACCATCCTTTTTGTCATGTTTCCTCATGTTTCACGTAATGCCCAAGACCGCTGAATTGTCCAGGTGACCCACACGGCCGTGGAATTTCTGGAAAGGGAAGCCCCTCTTGACAAAAGTGCTCCCCAAGGGCTAGAAACTCAGTGAAGAGATCCAGTTGTCCTGAGGTGTCTCCGAGGGAGTGGGTGACGTCAGCAGGTCAGGCTCCAGCGGCAGCAGCCACGGCACACCAGGGCACACCAGGGCACACCAGGGCACACCAGCACACCCAGAGGGACGTCGTCCCGGAGCGGGTTTCGTGGGACGTGGGACGTGGGGAGAGTAAATGCGTGGAATGTATGGAATGTGTGACATAGGCGGTTAGGGCGTGAGGTTTTCAGGGAGAACCTTGCAGGTGGTTGAAGGGGTCCCCCCAGCTGCCTGGCGTGGAGCCCGACGCCCTGAGATCACAGGGGTGCCCCGCAATGCCCACAAGCCGCCCTCCAGGGGGACGTGTCTTGTAGAACAGGGTGTGTAGGTCCACACGGCCGGCGGACAGTTGCTCCGTCCAGGAGAAGCAAGGGCCGGTGCCATCGCGGCGCCCGCCTGTCCCCCGTGCCGAGTTGGGGGGGGAGGCCCGGGAGGGCACGGGCGGGGCGGGCCGAGGGCCCAGAGCACTGGGAGCCAGCGGGTGTGCAGGGGCCCGGGGTGTGCTTGCACACAAGCAGGCGCTCAGTGGTCTTACACCGAGACTGGGGGCGGGGGGAGGACAGCCAGCTCGCCTGTTTGCAAATCCCCGCAAGCACGATCCAAGGTGCCCTCGAGGAGGCACGTGGAGGGCGGGATTCTCCGCCCGTCGGGGGGGGGGTGGGGGCCCATTCTCCAGGGTCCAGAGATTTGCAGGGACTCCCGGGAGCTACAGAGCTGGGGTGCACGCCGCCCACGCTTCTTCAGGCTCGCAGCCCCTCGGCAGCCCAGGGTGCCTCCTGGGACATAACGTCCCCAAGACTGTTGTCAGAAGCATGACTCCCTGGTCCGGGTCTCCAACGGTGAGGGACAGAGACCAGCAGACTCCCGGCTGAGGCCTGAGCACGGCCTGAGCCCGATTCGGAGGCCTAACCACTGAGCCACCCGGGGCCCCCTGCTTACGCTTCCGGAAACCCCTTTTCCAGGGCCCTGGCGTGAGGGTACCTTCCTCTGTGTCAACTGCACGGGGACAGGTCCTCGCTTGGTCTCCGCCTGGGTGGATTCTAGCGGCCTCCTCTCACCAGGAGAGCCCCGGGCGCTCAGAACTGGCCGCGCCCTCTGCCCCCACCCCTGCAGCGTGCAACAGTCTGAGGGTGCAGGGCCACCCCTTCCCCAGAGCACAGCAGGGCGGGGAGGCCGCCTCTCTTCCAGGGTGGCCCGGGGCTCGGGTGGTGGGAAGTGAGGAGTGGGAGATGGACCTCAGGTGTCGACCATCAAGCGGGCCCTGGGTCCTGGGTGCCCAGCGCCCTGCCGAGGCCGCACCCGCCCCAGCCAGGCTGCGTTACTGGCTCCCTCCCAGCAGGAAGGAGTGGACAAAGGGACTCCCCAAGGGCCATGGCAAGCGGGGCCCCTGCGGATGGAGGAGGCCAGGAGCAGCCAGCCCTGCCGCTGTCAGGGAGAAGCAGCGCTGGCCACCAGCCCAGGTGGCAAAAGTGGAGCTGCTGGGGACAGCGGCCGGGGGACAGGGAGCCCGGGTGATCTGAGCCCAGCCTCCCTGGGGGAGACGCAGGAGACTCTGCAGGGCCGGGTGAGCAGAGGGAGGGCTCAGAGGGCGGGGTGGCTGGGGTGGGGGTCATGGGACCTGGCCACCTGGGCTTGCCACCCAGCACCCACCCAGGGGAGAAGCTCCTGTTCCTGTAGGACAGACGCAGTGGTGTGCTCAGAGCAGGGCACCCCCGGGTCGAGCCCTGACCTCCCGGGGGAGATCGGGAGCCCCCAGTGTCTGCGACAGAGCAGCTCCCGGGTCCTCGAGGGGACGTCCCCGGCAGTGAAGGTGGGCGTCTCAACGCGCAGAGAAGGATTTAGAATCGCAAGGCGTGTTGTGCAGCTGGAGCTGGCATGTTGAATCATGACCTGCTGAACGAGGGCCACGGGCCCCGACTGGGTCGCCAGGTGGCTCTCTCAGCAGCCCCGGGGATTGAGAGCCACGGGCGGCCGTCCTGACCAGCGGTTTCAGTACAGCCCCGCGAAGGAAGTGGAGTCACGAGTTTCTTTATTTTTATTTTTATTTTTTTATATTTATTTATGATAGTAACACAGAGAGAGAGAGAGAGAGAGTAGAGACAGACAGAGGGAGAAGCAGGCTCCTTGCACCGAGAGCCCAACGTGGGACTCGATCCCGGGTCTCCAGGATCGCGCCCTGGGCCAAAGGCAGGCGCCAAACCGCTGCGCCACCCAGGGATTCCGAGTCACGAGTTTCTTACAGATCCCCAGATCCCCGTCGCAGGTGCTCGACGACCCAGGGAAGGGCCACCCTCCGTCCCCGCCGCAAGCAGGCAGGAGACGTGTCAGGAGGCTGGGGCGGGGGTCACTGACTTTTCAGGGCCTCAACTCTGAGGGGTCATTTTATTTTATTTTTAAGCTCTATTTTTTTTTATTTTAGAGTTTTTTCATTTTTTTGAGATTTTATTTATTTATTCATGAGAGAGAGAGGGAGAAGCAGGCTCCATGCAGGGAGCCCGTTGTGAGACTCGATCCCGGGACTTCAGGATCACGCCCCGGGCCGAAGGCAGGCGCTAAACCTCTGAGGGATGGGGGATCCCCTATTTTGGAGTTTTAGAGAAAGAGGAGGGGCAGAGGGAGGAGCAGACTCCCCACGGAGTGTGGGCCTGATCCCAGGACTCACGGATCAGGACCTGAGCTGAAACCAAGAGTTGCACAACCAACTGCCTAAGCCACCAGGTGCCCCGGAGGGGTCATTTTAAAACATCCCCGGGGCAGCCCGGGTGGCTCAGCGGTTTAGCGCCGCCTTCCACCTGGGGCATGATCCTGGAGACCCGGGATCGAGTCCCACGTCGGGCTCCCTGCACGGAGCCTGCTTCTCCCTCTGCCTGTGTCTCTGCCTCTCTCTCTCTCTCTCTCTCTCTCTCTCTCTGTGTGTGTGTGTGTGTCTCTCATGGATAAATAAATAAAATCTTTAAAAATAATAATAATAATAAAAAAGTCCCCCAGGGAAAAGCAAAGCAGGAGCCGAGGGCAGGCACCCTAACTGCAGTCCCTACCCAAGCATCTGGACGCCACAGGGAGCGGGTCATCACCCTGTAAAACGCCCAGGCAGCAGCTTCTCCCTCTCTATCTCTCTCTCTGTGTCTCTCATGAATAAATAAATAAAATCTTTAAAAAAATAAATAA